AAGTTATTTAAATAACCTATTCAGTACAAGATTTCTTGGGTAGAAAACTTCTCCTTTTGTGACTTACTCTCACCTTTGTATACCAACTTCAAGAATAAATTTTTTTCTCTGTACAGCTAATGGTCACAAAAATTAAAAGGTACATAAATAATACACAATAACACACTAGATCACTGGGTCTTGTCTGCTGTTAATACATAATAAATAAATAAAACATATTGAATTAATTTTTAAGCATTCAATTGGAATGAATAGGCAATAAAACACTGAATTATGACGTTTATAAACAATTTCAGACATGTTGCAAGTTATAGCACAGGCAAAATAAATGACTATTACAACAAACCACTTTTGTAAACCTCTATTCTACAAATTTCCTAACATTTGTGTGATTTTAGAATTAACAAGGTATGGTTTTTAACAAAAGGTTTTGTTGAAAGCTTTTAACATTTGTAGATTATGTTCAAGAAGCCAGAACACTGTCCAATTATGAAAAAAAATAAGAAGCAGAACAAATAATTTGCTGACCTTTCTAACAACAAATAATTGGGTACAGAACTTAGTTTGAAGTACAGCAGTGATCACTCAATTGCCTTGATCATCAGAATTTTTATGAGGCACCTGGAAATATAAAACTCCACAAGAATTCTCTGGGTGACATTCTGGTCTGTACAGATGTCTCATGACAAACAGACATACTTGCTGAAGTCAGTAGTACACAGCTTTCAATATTTTCTTGCAGTTATTAAAAAACTATTTTTTTAAGTTTGGTTGGTTCTCTTACTTCCTATCAGCAAATTAATTAAAAAAAATCATCTCAGCCAGTCATATAAAATGTAAATACATTTCAGGAATTGTAGTCATAGAGCAGCAGGGGTTACACTCAACTGCACATCTATAGGTCCACATTATGTATGCAAAGAAAAGGCCAACATACAGCCTCAAAATAAGACTAAGAAGCAAAGACATTAATATACTGCAATACTGGTATTATTTTATTCAGATATTGCTTATCTGATTTTTTTACTATTTATTTTCAAGCTTATTCTCAGTTCAGAAAGGAAGCATTACTCCCTTAACTCAGCTGGCTTGGCTTCTCTCAGACCAGTGGGTTCTGAAAATTCACATTACTACCTTAAAGCAATTCCTGCCTTTCACTCTCCAGCTTCATGGACCACCAGGTGCAGGCAGCAGCTCCTTTTCTTCACATCTTGGACCAGTGAGAAGAGACAAAGTGCAAGCAAAGGATGAGGGAAAAGCTGGGATCTGGAGCCCACTTTACACAGGGAATGATCACACTTCTCCTTTGCTCACATATCTGGAATGGTTGCAACACACCTCCAAAATTTCAGTCAACCTTGGAACTGCCTTGAATTCAGGGGCAAACAACAAATGGGAAAGTTCCTTGGAACTCTCACAAACCGCACTTTTGGAGTAAAAGCTTTGTTTATATCCACTTAATTCAGCATCAGCCAACTGAAGCAAACTGTTTGGTAAATGGGCCAAAAACCCACCTGAAGTCCATAAAATGTGGAGCAGGGATAGGCTCAGTCAGTCTTTACACTCCTAACAGAGCAGCACATACCCATTATTCAGATTTTAGCCAGAAATATTACAGAAGCCATGCAGTTGGGCAGGTCAATGAAGGGCAGTGTGATGCTTCTGTTTTGTAGCCCAGGGATCAGGTTTTGGGAGCTCTAATCCTAAACCAGGGTTTACAGGACATTACACCTTGTTCTGATTCCCAGGTAACAAGCACAAACGTGGATGGATACACCTACATGTGAGAGCCTATGCACAGACATGTACATATATTCTACCACATCAGCAAGATGTTTGAGCAAAATAAAACTATTAACCCTTAAAAACAACCCCGAGCTGTTCTACCTCAGGAAAGAGAATACCTTCACAAGCATTCAGTATAAAAACAAACACCAGAATTTTTTAACAACTAATGCAAAAAGCTGGCAAACACTTCCTGGCACTCACTAAGGCAGGCACAGCCTCAGGGGCTGCAATGTGTCAATTAGTGCATCTTGGGGCAATTAACGTGCTGGGGCTCCTCACAGAGCTGGGTGCTTCCAGAGATTCAGGTGATCAGAAACCACAGTGCAGGGCCAGAGGTTACAGGATGGTGAATATCAGGCAACAAAAGACAATAATGACCAATAGGTTTGTGAATCTTGAGCTTACATCAGAACAGAGGGACTTTGGATACTCAAGGACAAGTGTTTTCTGACTCTTCACTTAATTCTAACCAAACTGAAAGATTTTGCTTCCCTCTACATCTATCTCTCAGATAGAGCTCTATGGCACATGATATGCATTGAATCCAAACCAAAAATAATGTTTATTTGTATGACAGAAGTGGAAGCAGTGGCCTGCCATTTAGCCCTACTTCAGTGCCTTTGTATCTGTGTGTTACCCTTCACTTCTGTCCCCTCATTTCCTACCCCACCAGCAACAAGGTGAAATATTGCTTTGTTTTGCCTTCCTCATATTTATTGCAAAAGCAGGCAAAGCAAGACTACATAGTCAAATATACCTTGAGGCAGTTAATAAAGATAACATTCTGGACATAATGTGGATGGACCTTTGCTAGGGAAAACAATTCTGGCTAATAGTTGAAGCATGTGAATTTGAATTTGACCCAGACAGATTCTTCAAGGTACTACAAACGTTTAGATAAATCTCTAAGAGTTTGGTAACTGTGGAAGATGTCTTTGAACAGACAGAAGAGCCTGAGTCTAGTTCAGTTTTGATGCCTGCTTTGGAATGGTGGTGGTTATGAAAAGAGTTAAATTCATGATTGAAATTTCCTTCACATCTTAGATATCCACATTCTTAAAGTGTTAGCTGTGGCAACATTAAAAAGCCCCATTTTTCTAGTATAAAAATCTTCATTTAATATAGAACAGAGAAAATCAAACTAAGACTGCAGTGTATAATTAGAACTACTGCCAATATAGTGCTATATATCTGTAAAAACCTGGGTTCATATGACATAATTACAATGCATGCCACATCTCTTTTCTTTTATGAAAATACCTGTTTCCATCAGAGGTTTTTGGGGTTTTCTTATAGTTTTAGTGTTCTTTTTCTGAAGGTAGAAAGACATGCCAACAAACTCTCTCCCAGCTCCGGTGACTTTTCTGGCCTCAATACAGAGGAAGTTACATTTATTCTTGTCAGCATTTTAGCATGATTATATTGTTGCTTTTTGTTAAGTAACTTTCTACTAAATCAAATAATTCCCTGGTAACCAAGTAGAAATTATGGCTGTGCACATGGTTTGAAGCATTCTACAAACACATTTTTGAAACAATGATGACACAGAGTGTGTACATTATCTTTGCAACTTTGCACCTTGGATGCTCCTGTCACTCAAAAAAAAACCCCAAAAAACTCTCTGAATCCTAGAAAAGGCATTTTCCCTGAGTCCTTTCTAGGAACTACTTACATAAACTGCTGCTTTTTAGCACAGTCCATAAAGTATATTTATTACTCTTACAGGTGTATGAGCTTTGACCATTTCCTCTGCCTCTTATGTAATCATATAAAAGCTATTATGCTGCATGATTTGGAGTTAAACAAGTCTTTCACTTCCAACTTGAATACAGGCAGTCTTTATAAATTTTATGCCAGAAAAATGTAGTTCTCCTTATGCATGATTTTTTTTTTAATTAATGGATTTGCGTCAACTGATCAAAAAGAGAAAAAGATTGGCTGAAATATTTGAATATGCTCTATGAAATTAAAGGAATTTATAGTCCTGCCACATAAACCAAAGAAGATTTTGTTTCTTTGAAGGTGATATTTTTGTATATATCTGCACTGGAGGCCTTATTGACCTGTTTATTTATGACACTTATGAGGAGTTATGATAAGTTATTTTAATAATAGAACTACTTTCACCTTCCCCACATCTTATCCTTCATAAACAACTGACTCCAGATATGCTCAAACATCCTTATGGATCATGTTCTGCACTGGATTCTGTTTAAATTGTCTTTCCAAATCAAACAAATCCAGCTAAAAGGAAATGTCTCCATACCCAGCATAATGGAAGGAGCTCACCCAACTGCAATCTTAGCTAGTAGCAGGGTGAAAATGTGAAGGTAAATCCTATTTCCCATACTATTATTTAACCCATAAAAGCAAGGAATATTGCAGAGGCCAAACTCATTATTTCTACTTCTTTCTCAGGACCACATTCCCCATTAGATTGAAGCTGAGTGATTTTGTTTATTGAGAATACTGAAATTTGATCTCAGGCTGCTACTGCCATATGAAAGAGGTTTTTAAAAATTATTTTTTGCTTATGTTTTTATAAAGAGCTTCAAAGGGAAGAAGTGTGTTATTTTTTTCTCCTCCTACTGAAAGCAAATCAAAGTCCCTTGAGCTACATTTTACTGTTTATATACAAGCATTAAGCTGCCAGGATATAGCATTAATAGAACAACTGAAAACAACTTTCAGAATACTGCAACATTTCATAACAAGACCAATGCACTGACTATAAATCATGCTTAAGAGAACACCAGTACATTTTCAGGTTCTCAAATCATATGGGTTGAGAGGAAAAAGTTAATGGTCTTTGTGTACATACAAATTGCATAATAAAGTTCATTTATGAACTTAAAATAACACCTGATATTTATACTGAAATGTTTTCTATGATCTGAGCTCAGATCACAATTTGAATCTAGATAGACAGCATTTATGCCCCCCCTTTATGTTACTTTATGTAATAAGAAATGCTGTAAATTTTAACTGAACTATTAATGTCTACTTTTCAGCTTGTGATAGACTTAAAGGTCTACAAATTTATATGAAGAAATGTATCACAGTAACAAATTGTTTGAAAAAAAACAAGTGGAAGATCTGAAGACCTAACTCCTGATTCAGTTTCCCTGTGCATTTTAAGAGAGGTTGAAGGTGTAGCAAACTTTACCAATTTCTCACTTCATGATGAAACCCATTATCCATTGGTAACTCACCCTCTTCTGCTCTTTAATATATTCCATCAGTTCCTCTCTGGTCCTTTTTACTGCTTCTTCGATTGCCTTTTCACTTCGTTTCTGCTCCTCCATTAATGCTTCCTTGACAATTTCCTTTCCAAAAGAAAAGCATGTTAAGTGTATATGAAAAAAAAGTCACAAATGTGATAAAAGGTTTTCCTCCTGCTAAATTTTTATTGCCTCTACACTCTTTCCTCAGTAATAGTTATCCTAAATGTATGCAGTATCTTTAAAATCAATAAATTCAGTACTAAATGGTAAATAAGAGAGAAAAAAAGAGAGAAATAATCACTTTAAAGCTGTTCCCTGAGAGCAGAAAATAATACAGCAATGCAGGTGTTAGTTTCCATCAGGAGCAGGGATGGCAGGGATTTAGCAGCTGCTGTTATCAGGCCAGACCACTTCACCTGGAAGAGACCTGCAAGATCATCTGTAGGCTGCATCTGCAGCTGCCTGAGCCCTCCAGGGCTGCCCACGAATTTAAGCACATTATTAAGGGATTCCCCAAAAGCCTCTGAAACAGTCTTAGGGCATGGACCACCTTTCTGGAAGCCTCTCCCAGTGTCTGACCACCCTCTTTTAAGATGAGCTTCACAAAGTTCAGTCTGAACCTCCCCTGATGCAGTTTTGAGCCATTCCCACACCACCAAAATGGGTTTCTAAACTGTGATACAAATTATCAAAGCTTTTTTGTAAACTTACATAAAAACTTGCCAAAATCATTAATTTGCTTCCAAACTTTGGGAATTGCCAGGGACATTCTGTACACAGCAGGGAAAAGCAGCAAAAGATACTCACCCACCTATCCCCCTAAATCAGCATTACATCAAATGCATTACAGTAGAGAAAGCCACGAACCACTTCTTAAAACATCTCTATCACATGCAGTATTTGGTTAAGGAAACAAATTGCTGGGCTAAAGTCACTGTCCCAAAACTGAAGTCCAGCTTCCCAAAACCACTAATGGAATAAGTAATGGCATTATTAATCCAAGTGTTCTGTCCCAAGATTCAGGAGAACAAAATGACAAGCCTCAGATTCCTATAAATCCTGAAAATGTAACATTTTCAGAAAGAAAAAAAAAAACAAATCAAAAAACCCCAAAACCACTAAAAGTAATCACAAGATCTTAAATGATTTGTCAAGGGAGATCAAGAGGAAGATGGAGAGTGCCTCAGAAATCAGGCAGAAATTGGCAATTCCAATGCCTTTGCTCTAGACATTCCAAATTGGAAGAAACAAACACTAGTGGTGCACCTGAAGAATTCAGCAGGAAATAATGGGAAAAACCTCAGTGGTTCAAGCAGGAACACAACATGACTTCTAGTGTATTTATTCACACACATGATTTATGTTTTGGGTTTGTTTTTTTTTAATCAAAACTTTTATAAAATCAAAGGTAAATATAAATGGATTCCTCATTACTCTTCATTGGTTAGACAAAACACTGCATTACCCATAGATTTGTTTTCAGGTTTGCTTGACTGCAGAGCAATACAGACATTTTATGTTATGTATTTACACCTCGGATTTGGGGGAGTGGGGAAGGTTGGCTGTAGAACAGGTGGAGTTCTAAAGTTTTGGAAGTAGATGATATTTATGAAGCTGCATAATTTATCTGTATATATAAGAGTGGCATTTTACAATATGCTATTAGTGTACAAAATGAATAATCCATTGAATTGGATCAAACTTTTTTCTTTTTAAGAAAAAAGTCCCTTAGTGGAAGTTATTCAACTGAAAAAGAAAGCTCCATTTCTTACCTTTAGTTGTTTGCTCTATTTCAGCCAAAATGGAACAGTTTCTGCAAAACTACACTTTTGCTATTTTTATAGCAGAAAAAGTCTAAAATCCCAAATTTAAAATGTGCAACTATGTAGTCCCCACTCTTCTGGAATGCAGTACACATGAAAATCCTAGTTGTGAAAAGTGATTATGATTTTTTTCTATTTTAATTCAGTTTACCAAAGAAAAATCCCAAGAAAAAGGTCTCTTTCACTACAGAACTCTGGCAAGACTAAGAGAAAAAGTAGCAGAAAATTACATATTAAAGAAATATGCTGTTCTTAAAATTATATTCTCATGCCAGTTTAATTTGTCAAAAGGTCCCAAATACTTTCTTGTGTTAGAATAGATCTATCCCATTAAACTCTTCAAAACAAATTATAGAACTGACAAGATGCTGTATCTTAATATGAAGAAAATGTTGCACCCATAAAATACTTGCAATCAATTAAAGTATGTTAAGTATCCTTGATACTATACTTGAAACACTACATAATCCAAATAAAAGTCCAAATAAAAACATAAATTCTACAAATCTATTAATAAAATTATAGCAAGCAAACAGAAACCAGCAGCAATACCCCTACGGAACACTAATTTATAACACTGACATTAAAACAGAAAAAGTAAAATTGGGAAGAATTATTTTTCATTTCCACTGGTATTGGCACAAGTCCCCAGGGTTGTGGTTAAATCACCATCCCTTGATGTATTTAAAAAATGTGCAGGTGTGGCACTTGGGGACATGGATTAGTGGTGGCCTTGGCAGTGTGAGGTTAACTCAATGATCTTAAGAGTCTTTTCCAACCTAAGTGATTCTACAATTCATCTACCACATTCTGGTTAACGAAATTAACTGTTGATGCATCTTCCCAGTTTATAAAGAGTTCTCTGTTTCAGACACTGACCACCTCCTGTTTCCACCTGAAAATCATCTCAACAGTTGCTGTCACCAGACAGATCCTGCAGCCACCAGACTGGACACTCTCATGTGACTGACAAAAAGACTCCTGCTTCAGTGGGCTTCATCCCAACTGCTGGCAGTTGTCCACAACACTTTTGATTTGTTGGGGTTATTCTGTGATTATTCACTCCCCATACCCTAGGATGAATCATATGGATCCGTTTCTCTGAGATGTGAATCGCTGCTTCTCATCTGAGTTGAAATGTTACCCTGCTCACTGCATTCAGGAGAAATGAAACAGTTCCATAAAACACACAGTTTTCTTCACAGGCTATGTCTTAAAAACTGCCAGAGGCCCTACAACCTCTGACAGTGCTCCTGAACTGGCTGACTTGATTTGCACTGTGCCTTACCTGCAGCTCAAAATGGGCAAACACAGAGTCCTGTCAAACAATGACACTCGAGACTAGCAAAAGACTGCTCTGCTGTGATAACAATAAATGGAAAGAAAACTCTTTTATCTCTTTCACTCAGAAGTCTTCAAAAAGCAAACACTGCACAATAGTTCCTTAGTCAACTTAGACATATACTTTTGATATTAATCAATGATATTAGCTTTTCCTTCTGTAACAAGAACCCTCACTTCTTTTATACGACCTTCCACTAAGTGCTCAGTCGCTGTCTGGTTTTGCTCTATTTCTGACATTAAATTATCAACTAATATAAAGGTATTTAAATGCTGATATTACCTATTAATGTTGAACAAAGCCTTATCTGCAGGTACATTCTCTCAACATGTGTTTACTTTTCCATCATCTCTTTGCTCTTTCCTCTTATGCTATATCTACCTTTAGATTCTATTTTAACTTAGATTTTGGTTGCAGAGGTAAAAGTTGGCTATTGTTCCATCTTTAACTACAAAGGGTAGAGCGTTATTTGAACCTCTTAGTGCTATTTTAATGGACTCAAGAAAATGGAAAATCCCAGTTTCCTGTAAAAAGCTAAGGAAGAACATTCCACAACATGGTACTTGAGGTGCAATTCTTCTCCCTCCTCCCTTTATTTTTTTTTTTTTTACATAATTTATCAGTGGCTGGAGTACCAAATTATAGTCACAAAGTTGGCTTCTTTACATGACTCTCCAGACATGTGCTTGACATGACACCAGTCAGAAGATTAAGAATACCTAATCAAAAGTAAGATAGTTATTCAAACACTCAATTAACAAATCACAGTCAACCATGTATTAGAAATGACAAGCACACATCACAACATATAAATCTGTAGGAAGACAAAAAGAAAAAGCACTGTACTTGATACACCAGAGAACTCCAGACAGTATTTAAAAAATAAAACAAGCCATATGTTGCTTTGCAATTTTATAGGAAAATTCTTTTGTTTCCACACAAGGATCAGGTGGCAGCACTAAACTTTATCTAGGAAATGCAACCACAGACTGCAATGTTAGTGGTTTTGAAGAAAATACTAACCCTCAAATTATAATGTCTGTGGTTATAAACTACTACAATCTACTTCTGAAGTCAGACATCGTTAAGGTCTGTATGCAGTGAACTATTCCTTTTCCAGACTTTGCAAGCATATTAAAAATAAACTCATCTAATGGCAGGGATCTCTTTCTACTCGGTGCTACTGAGTTGTGTCCTTCTTCACACATTCAAGATTACACAGAATTTTCTTTTAATGTGTCTCTACAAACACTGGCCACCCTAAAGTTTCTGCAAGACAGTGGAAAAACGAAGAAAGTAAAACTGAAAAGAATGGTTTGCTACCTTCTTGAGAGAAATGTAAGCACACACTCCCAGTGAAAGCTGAACAATAAAGGCAATAGAAATAGAAGAGATCCTTTGAAGAGCAAGTGCTTCTCCAGCACATTGTGTGATACCATATTAACAACAGGCTATTTAAACAGGAATTGGGATATAGAGGAATAAACCCCAACAACTTATTGCATGAATCCACAAATGAAGATAAAGAGCATTGTTACAATAGTTCAAATATGTTACTGAAAAACCATTTTTTCTTCCAAAGATTAGCACTGACCCTCCCAATCAAAATCCTACAGTCGTAAAAAGTTACTTCTGAAATTACATTTAAAAATACGCCACTTTGCTAGGTACTTCAGAAACAGAATAAAGGGAATATTTTAAACTCTGAATCCTCTACAGGACTATGCAACCTTGTAAAAGATGAAAAAAATAACAAGTGGACAAAGAGAGACTGATAAACACAATAGTTTGTATTTCCTTAATTGACAATACCCTCAAAGCTGTGTGTATCATAGACACAAAAAGTATTGAGGATAAAGAAATTAAATTTTAAGGAAATGAAATTAATAATGCATCACATTAAAATCCTCACTAGTAAAAAAAAAAATCATAGAAGA